TCTTTTTTTTTTTTTTTTTTTTTTTAAATAGTATGGTTTTCACGTACAAAAACTTTAGAAAGTGTTAATGGGCCAAATTTTTCACGGGCATGAGCTTCATTTCAATAGCATGTTGCATTACTTTTGCTCGTTTTAAACATAACATGGATATAAAATAAAAAATTTTTTATATGCCGTCAACTCTCTTTATAACGAAGAACGAACCCATTCAATAACAAACTTTTTTTAAAAAAATTATCTTATTATAGGGTTCGATATAGAAACATATTAAATTACTATAAGGAATTTTTTTAAATTTTAACAAGAACTGCCAGTTCGTTATAAAGAGAGTTAACTGTATATAAAATAAAAAATTTTGTTCTTAATAATTCATAGTCATTTGTTCTTATGTATCTATCTTCAGATCAAGAGGAATCTATACTAAATTGATTTGTTAAATTGAAATAAAAATGTGTTAGTAGTTTAATTATATATTATCATACATGTAACATCCCTGTAGTTAATCAATATTTAGGATTTAGGTCACATCACCCGAATTCATTTATTTTTATTGGCCGTTCCAAGTAATATGTTACAAATATACATGTACCAATTAAATTCGTCCACATAATAAAAATAACGCTATATACTTTAAAACATTACCAGGCAAGGAACTCTATTTTTTTTGTTTGTTCAGCCACCATGTGAAGATCGTCCAATCAAATTGTAACACATATGCACTGGACATACAATGCTATGTTTACTATTTTAACTCGTCATTGTATTTTTTTTTTGAATTAATATATGAGAGATTAAGGTATTATGATGAAGTTGGTATTGTGACGATTTAGCATATTCGTCATCCCATGGTCGGAATCGAACAAAATATATACCATCGAATTGTATAAATTCATTTGATTCTGTCTGCTATATCGCGAGATATTAAAACAAATTTATTTTTATATTTGCTCGTGATTCCGTGATCTTAATCCAATTTTTATACCATTCAATTTCTCTCGTCGAGAGGATCGAATGGTACAAAATCGTTGGGTTCTGATCATGGAATCACGAGATATTACAGTTCGTCACAGTACCTACTTAATGAGGCGAATCAAATGATACTAAAATTTGTTCGATTTCGATCGAAATATTGTTTAACTGTTAACTTCAGAAGTTCGTCATAATTACGCTATTTTTTTTTAAAAAAACATTTTAGACTTTAGTTGTGCTAGTATAACAAAATTACGTATTAATTCTTAAATTTATTGCTTAAATATGATGGCTAAACCATTATACCAGATTGGCAATTATCTTAAATTTCTTCCTATTTAGGGATCCGTTAAAGCCAGGTACCTTCACGTGACCGTTAGGCCAGTGATGTACATGGACAGTCGTGGACATGAGTTTGGACAGTTTTGGACATTTTTAAACAAAAAAATTTTATTATGATAACATGATTTAAAATTAAGTAAAAAAGATTTATCATTTAATATATACTTTATTATAAGATGTATGGACACTATGGACATGGACGTGGACATGGATATGGACAAGCCAAAAAAAGGTATGGACATAGTAAACACGACATCACTGCGTTAGGCAATCAAATCGTAAATTTTTGATCTTCACGGATCAGCCCGACAAAGGCAATTTTACCTATAAGACATGTCCTAACCCACCTACCTGGCTTTAACTAACTAGTGTTTCGGGCGAAACCCGAATTTGCAGATCATTTTGGGCGAAACTAATTTCGGAGGGTTTCGGATTTATAGGGCGAAATTAAAATTCCTCTGGCGAAATATTTCGAAAATAATTTCGCCCGAAACACTAGCTTTAACAGTTCCTTATATTTCAGTATTTATAATAACCATGAATCTGAACAATTTCGGAGGCAACTGACGTTTCAAAAATTGTATCAGTGTCTCTATCTCGTTTAATAATTTCACTATATTTTGTGGCAGAATATATAATTGCGCAACATATTCATTACGAATGATATACATATTATATATTTTAAAATAAACTTTAAATTTATATTTTTAAAAATTAATCACGTGTTTATAGGTGGGAGCGATATTGCTATTTATTTTATTATTAACTAGTGGAGGCTGTAGGCTTCTTTTTCTTTTCAGCTTCTGCTTCCTTTTCTTTTTCAATTTCACTAACTATAGCCTCAACCTCTTCAATTTCCAAATTCTTTTTATCCAACAAAAATAATAATGAATTTAACAACCAGGTGTAAACAAACATTAACAATGGATTAAGAGCATATGCTTTTCTTACCTTAATAACACTGTCAGCTGTCATTAAAGCTATTTCAATGTTCTTCGCACCAGTTTGTACAACCTCTAACAAAGACTTAACGGTTAATTTGATAGTCTCATCTTTACTCAAGCCTTCTTTATAATTCTTTTCCAAAAATTCGCGAACAGTCTTCGAGCTTCTACCAATCGCATTAGCCTTATTATAACCAACAATAATAATTTGTAAATAAAAATTATTGCAATAAATAATTAAATACGTTTATTTAATTACCTTCCATGCTGAATATATACCAGACGGATCTGTTTGATAGAGTCTAGG